AAAAGTTGTCAATCGCACCTTAGAACAATATTTGCGTTGCTTCGCCGGATTACAACCTAAGAAATGGGTAGAATGGGTTCATTGGGCAGAATTCAGTTACAACACATCCATTCATTCCTCCACCAAGATCAATCCGTTTGAAGCAGTCTGCGGAGTTCCTCTTCTAAATTTTCTTTCCTATATACCAGGCACATCGTGTGTTCAAGCGGTGGATGACTATCTCAAAGACCGCAATGCAATCTTGAAGGAGTTACATGAAAACCTTCAGATAGAACAAAATCGAATGAAGTGCCAACTCGACCAACGACGCCGAGATGTTCAATTTAATATTGGGGACTTTGTGTTCGTGAAGTTACAACCGTACCGCTAGACATCTGTGGCTTTTCGGAAGTCCTTAAAACTTTCGCCTCGTTTCTTTGGTCCGTACAAGATTGAAGATCAGATTGTAAATTGGGAGTGTGTTTACGGGATTGAAAGTAATTTTGAGATGTGATGTCTGGGGGTTCAGGTGTGAAAAGTGAAGTGAGGATTGGGGATCTGAGAAATTTTAGAATTGGGTTTAGATTGGCTGATTTCTCTTGAGCTCGACATTCGACGGCCACGTCGGCATCACGTGCGCCACACGTGACAACTTGACAGAAGAAGTTAATAGCGGAACACAAATTGTTAAAAAATGGCAAGTTTGAGGACATATTTCGTGAATGCAAAAGTTTAAGGACAAAAATTATTTTAGTGGTAAAGTTTAGGGACATAAAATATAATTTTCCCTCTCTTGCGCAAGAATTTGGGTTCCATCACTCCGATATCCACTCAACTTCCACCTGTGTCTGATGATTTAAAGTTGTGGCTACAACCAGAATCGATTTTGGCTCGACGTGTGATTAAGAAGGGAAGGTATCTGCCTCGCACCGAATTTTTGGTAAAATGGGTTGGGGCACCAAGTGAAGACGTGACCTGGGAAAACGCCCGGCAATTCTCCAAGGCATATCCAGATTTCTCTGTCCTTGAGGACAAGGGCAATGTGAGGGGGAGGGATTGATACGGAACTGTGGGTGTAATCCCTATTTTCATGCATATTATGGTTACTTGAACAAGTCAATAAATTATATATGCATGTTGCATGTGATATTAGGCAACGTCATTTTCTATTTCCTTAATCTTAGGCCAGTAGTTGCATTTTAGTTAATTGTGTTCATATATATATATATATGCACCACTCAGGAAGTGAATAAAGAACATGAAATATTGCAGACTTCTATCTCTCATCTTCTTTCTCCCAAATTATTCTATCATAATGGTTCTTGAAGAACCGAAGAGACACACTTACATTGCTGTTCTTACAGTTTGATCCATTTATATATGATTCAATGCTCTCTAATCTATGGAAATAAACTAAGATCATGGAATCATTATTCAACTAATCTAATTAGTCACAAATCAATCAATCGAATTAATATTTATTGAATTTAAAATAGGAAAGCTTTTAAATCACTGTCTTGATCTTTCAAGGCTAAAATGCACTAATAAAGAGCCCTATAAACTCTTAAAAATGTGTGTTGTGGAGATCGTGAACATTCTGAATGCTTAAAATATGTGATTGCATCAATTAGAGTATTCCAAGATTTATATCTTTGTGATTTAAGCCTCTGAAATGTGATCCGGACCAATTTCAAAAATTTGAATAAAAAACCTTTGAAATACTTGATTGCTTGATGTGATTAGGATCACATCATACTCCCTTTCTTCAAATGATTGGCCCTCGAATTCGATTCCTATGAATGAGTGTCTAATATTGAAAGCGAATCCATGAGGCTGAAAGGTCTTGGTTGAATTTGGTAATTCTCCTTCTTTCTTTTACGAAAAATTAAAAAATGAAATTCCTCATCCGATAAACAAGATCAAACTTTCCTTGTTAGCACCCCGACCTAACGTTTATATAGAAACACAAACCGGAAGTATGGAACAACCATCTTGACCGAATGGCGGGATAATTACACTTTTCGTCCCTATACGTTGCCACTTACACGATATTTATGTGATATTTAATATTTTATTTTGATATTTATCTAAATGTATTTGCTTCAACCATATGTATTAAATTGTTGTGAACTAAAAAAAAATAATTTATATATCTAATTGCCACATGTCATTTTCTAAATGGACACTGAGGTGATTAAATTCACAACTCATATTTGATATTTTATTCTCCATGATGTATTTTTACATTCCGAAAGATGAAATATCAAAATACAATCCTCATTTCATAACTCTATTGGCATTAAAAAATACTATTTTTTAGTATGAAAAGTAGTATTTTGCCTCATGCGTTGCACGGGTGGATATTGAGAAAAAAATATAAGATAAGCAAAATTAGAAATTAGTAAATATATATGAAATCTACAATAGCAAAACAATAGAACACCGAAAATGTAAAAATTTCACTAGTTGCAATCATAATTTATATATCTATTTTAACAGTAAAATTTAATACACATACGTGTGCTATAAAAAATAAGAGAAAAGTTGGTGCTGGAAGGGAAAAAAAAAGAAGAAAAAAAGAAAAAGAAAATAATTAAAAAGGAAAAACAAACGTGAAATAAATAATTTAAAGTTTATCGTGTTTAGTGGGGAAGGGAAGAAAAAAAGAAAAAAACAAAATAATCAAAAAAAACGTGTCCTATAAAAAAGAAGAAAAAAATTAGTGCTGGACGAGAGAAAAAAAAAAAAGAAGAAAAAAAGAAAAAGAGAATATTTAAAAATAAAAAATGTGAAAAAAAAATTGACCGTGCGTGTTTAGTGGGAAGGAAAAAAAAGGAAGAAGAAAAAATGAAAAAGAAAACAATTAAGAAAACAAAACGTGTTCCATAAAAATGAAGAAAAAATAAATAATTTTGAAGTGCTATAAAAAGGGAGAAAATGAAGAAAACAAATATTTAACAAAAAAAAAAACCTGCTTTTAGGGTTTAGGGGCAAACCTGTCTTTTATATATAAAGATGGTGGTTAAAGGTTTTGATAGTCCATTTAATAACCCCACTCGAGGTGCTCTTACTTTAAATGGTTTACATTAACAAATACAATATCTATCAACAAATCAGTAATTTCTGCGATCCATTTTAAGTTATAAACTCACTAAGATATTTATATATTACATAAAAGACTACAATTATATGAGAAGTAATTGCATAGTTATGTGCGTGTCTTTTCATATTGAGAAAGTTTGATGCAATATTGTGACTATGGATGAAAAAAGTTATCAAATATTAAGTCTCATTGTATACCAATAAAATATTATCTAACAAATAATAAATTATTGGTTATCATTTCATTTGGTACGATATTGGTACCATATCGAACTTATACCAGATTTACTACGATCCATATAGACAATCTATCATGGAAAAAAATATGTTTAGATACAAATATTCTGACTAATATTTAAAAGGGTTAATTGCATTTCGCCATCTAGACTTTGCCCGTTTTTGCACTTTACCACCTTAACTAAAAAAAGTTGCACGGTCGCACCCAAACATTCATTTTTGACGCACATAACCACGTGGAGGGAATATTCTGGCGAATCTTTCCAGTTTCTGGCGCACGCACGCTGCACATGCCAAAGTACATGGGCTTTTCGTCTTTTCCTTTAACATCCTTCTATATGCCCTAGCAGTCGTTGACTTCCCCTATTTCATTTCAATTTCACACCTTCACAAAAATCCCCTTTTCTATGTCAATGTAGGGCTAACATTGTCGACGATAAATTGCAATAATCTGAAGACCTTCTTAACTCTATCAGGACTTGGAAGTTAAGGGAGGGTAATGGCGTGGACGATTTTCGAAAAAATGCTCGCGAATATGGCATGCGTTCTTAGAATTCATATTATTTATTTATTTGATGTAAATAGTTGTTTTATGTATTCAATGTGGTTGCACATGGGGTGTTCTTGGATTTGTTTATAATATACTATAGTGATTTCTTTGTTTGTTTATAGTATTTTTTTGTATTGTGTGCACCACATTGGTTTTCTTTTCTCCAATGTGTTTATGCTAGCTTACAATACATGTTTGGACTACATTTAGTCTCCCACTTTGATTTTAGAACGTTTTAATTTTTTGTCCTTATTACCACATCATACATTTTTTTATCAGATTCACATGTTCGGAAAATTTATTTTATATTTTTTTTGGCAGGCCGCAATAGTGATTATTTCACAATAGTAATGCACCATTCTTGAAAAATTATGGATTTAGGTAAGATCGGTTATGTGGGTGAGAAAGTGAGTTATTTTGACTACTGTTGTTATGATGAAATGTCAATGACTGAAATAATTGAAATGGCAAGTAAATTAAAATTGGAAGAGTGATCATTAACGTCAATACTACTCGAATGGGAAGATTTTATCACAGTAGAAGTGCAATACAAGATTGTAGTGTTCTTTATTTAATGGATAATGATAATGATGCTTTGGAATTAGTGAACTATCTTGACAAAGACAGAGCCACTACAATTTATGTGAAGCACCTACAAGTAATAGGAGATGAAACTGAAAAAAATCAACCTGATTCCTTTGATTTAGATAATCTTCCATATCTAGATGAAACAGTAGGGTATGTGGGCGATGTTGATGAAGTTGATGACTTTAATGATGTATCTGAGTCTTATGTGCCTGAATTTGAGGTTCTTGGTAGTAATATGTATGTGAATCATATGACTAACATTTTTGGTGATAATGATGGTTTTTTTGATGTTAATGAAATTGGTGGTAGTGATGTACAGTCAGTTGGAGATGATTCAGAGCACTCTGAATTTTTGATTGATAGTGAGTTTTTTGCATCTGATGATGATTTTCAATATGATAACAATTTTGATCATGGGGTAGAGTGGGTTGGACTTAGGCTAGATGAAGAGGCTGATGAACCTAGAAGGTCTAGGATATTAAACAAGGGGAAAAATAAAGTGGTTGAAAATCAGATTGATGAAATTGCCAAGAAAGATCAATAGAAACACCACAACTTTCTAGTTTTTAATCCAAAGGTAGACATGGATGATCCTAACTTTCAGCTTGGTGTTTGCTTCAATGATGCACAGAGTTTTAGAGATGTCATAAGACAACACTCCATAGTTAATGGTAGGGACATAAAGCTGAGGCTTAATGAGAACTATAAGGTTCAAGCCATATGCCAACATCCAAGTTGTCCTTGGCTAGTCTATTCTTCTCAAATGAGAGGTGAATCCACCTTTCAAATCAAGACAATCAATGCAGTCCATGAATGTAACAGAAAGGAGATGGTGGCTTGTGCAACTTCCAAGTGGTTGTCCACTAAATATGCAGACAAAATAGTTACTGGTCCAAGATGGCCATTGGACTCTATGATGATTGTGGTCCAAAATGACTGCAAATTGTTATTTAGCAGACACCAACTGTACAGAGCAAATAAAAAGGTAATAGAGAAGAGTACATGGTCTAATATTGCACAGTATGGACTCATATGGATGTATGCTCAGGAAATTAAAAAGTCTAGTCCTAGGACCACTGTTAGAATCAAATGAAGTTGTGAAACAGATCAACTGAAGTTCAAAAGAATTTACATTTGCTGGGATGCATTGAGACAGGGGTTTCTTGATGGGTGTAGGTGTTGGTCGAAAACCTACACGCAAGTGCACGTATCGTACAAGTAATATAGTGGACAATTAAGTCCGGATATCGAACCCACAGGGAATATTTAATTATCTAATCCTAGACGCTAAATTCTACCAATTATTATCAAGCCCACCCTACACAGTCGAATAAGGATTAATAAACTAAATTAAACTAAATTAAAAACAAGCAAAAACAAGAAAGCAATTTAAAACGAAGATTTAATCAAGATGAGCAAGCCTAGGATTTTATTCTTCCCCCTATGTGATTATTACTCCCCCAATTCCTTCAATTATGCAAGCAATTAACCCGGATTATTAACCTGAGATGCTAAAATAATCATAACCCGCTTCCGCGTGTATTACGATTCTAATACTCTAGATTCAATTACTATATTCCTATGCAATTAATTCTAGAACACAGCATTAAGCACAAATCTCAATAATGGCTACCTAAGAGATTAACTATATTCCTATGTTAATACCACAAAGGCTCTTCTACCACAGTTCTAATTATTAACCCGATCTTCCGATTCATGCGATTAACAATAACATAAAAGCGCATAAAGTGGCCAGTTTCATGAACTTAATAAAACAAGTAGAAGAAATATTCCGAAATTAAAACTTGCATAAAATCATAGAATTGGGTTCATAAATCCCGCATAGGGTTCCAAATAAAATCCTAGAAATAAGAAATTTAGCTACTCATGATTAAAGGAAAAACACAAATAAAATAAATCATAGACGATAAATCTATGCTTGAAGTCTTCGAATTCTTCGTCTTCGTTATTGCTTTGTTGCTCTTGAAATTGTGTAAAAGATCCCCAATTGTGTGCTTGGCTTGGTCTTATATAGGGTGAAGAACTTGGGGAAGAAGGCAGTTTCCTTGTGCAATTAAAATTCCTTTACTGCGCAACTTCGGAGTCTCGGACGGGGGTCTCACAATTTGAACTAAAACTGAGACGGGGGTCTCAGCTTTAAATCTTCAGAATTTTGATATTTTCACTTTTGACCCATATTTTTGCCAAAATTGCAGTTTTGACCCCATACTTTTCCAATTCTTCAATTTGTACCTAAAATACAATAAATCAACTTTTTAAGCACCAATTATCGTTAAAACACACCAAAAGCTCAAATAAAAAGATACGATAAAGTGTAAAAATACACACTTAACACACCCCCAAACTTGAACTTTTTGCTTGTCCTCAAGCAAAATTTACCAATAAGCAAATAACTCAACGATAACATCTCATCACATAGATCAATGACCAACTTCACGTTTTCAGAACTTGTAATTATAATGACAATTCTTAGGCATTCGCAAGCTCAAAATTCAACAACACTTAGTCACTCACCATTACCAAAAACCACAATTCATACAATTGCTTCAAGCATCCAATATTTGCAAATTAAAGATAGAAAAAATTTATACTTACATGCATTTGCTTGACTCCAAATACCCACCAAATTATTCTACTCTACTAATATCGAATATTAAGCTATTGGGATCATTGGGGCTTTGTGGCTTTCAATTGTTAGGCTCTTTGGTTCGAGGTAGGAAATATGGGTATGTGTGGCTATTCTTCTTGAATTTAGGTGATTACGCCAAAATTTGAAAGATAGGCGTTTGAAACAATGAATTCACCTCTACGGACTTTAATAAACTCGATTCTCAAAAGTTCAAAAGTGTCCACTTTTGCTTTTGAGGCAATGGATCGAGTTTTCAAAAATAATTCAACAACTAGTCCTTATTTCTCCCTTCTAGTCTCTTCTTCTTCTCTCTCTTTTTTTTTTATTTATTTTATTTTATTTTATTTTATTATATATATATATATATAGAAGCATAGATATTTGTCTTCTTTTTTTTTTCTTTTCTCGTTTATTTTGTGTCTCTTTTTTTTTTTTTTTTTTTTTTTTTTTTTTTTTCGAAGAAGAAGAAGGACCTTATAAAATTTTTCGACCGAACTCCAAGGGGTAATTTTCAAGAATCTCCACCTATTCTACCTTACACATTGGCTAAAAGAAAGAACACCTTTTCTCCGAGGCTCAAATCAAGGTTCTAAGGATAATTTCGATAAAAAGGTCGGCTTGAAAGGCTCAAACGGTTCAAAGAAGGCCCAAATCATATCCCAAATCACTCACTACTCAATACTTCGTATCATAAATTTCCTAAGGTGAGTCTTAAAACCGAACATAGCATGATCTAGCACAAATTAATTCCAAATTTAAAATACAAAACATTCAACAAAAGCAATACACAAAATGTGATTCCTAGCAATAATTCGCTTCTAAGTTCTGTTGAATCGAAAGCTAAACAAACATCAAATCTTTATCACACAAAACAAGCAATTCATCATCAAACATTGATCATCTCTCATCATCATAAATCATAGATGCATTCGACTCAAGCAATTTTTTTTTTTTTTGTTTTTTTTTTTTTTTTTATATTCCGAAAAATGAGAAAAACAATAAAAACGAATAAAACCTAATGCATGCAAACTAAAACAAATAAGCACAACACCCCCAAACTTAAAATTTTCGTTGCCCTCAACGAAATTAGCACAAAGTTTAAGGATAGAAAACACCTGATTTAGTCGGAGTCGATGTGATCGGGGTGCTCCTCCCTAGCTCTCTCATGCTTCTCATCATCGGAAAGCTCTCTCGCTCCATCTTCATTTGGAATCGTCGATCGGCACGGGAGCTTGAGGCTTCGGGGTCGTCTCGGGCTTGAGGAGCGGCTTTGGAAGAGGAATCGTCGTTTTGGTGGCACTTTTCTTGCCTTTTCCTTTGCCTTTATAAGATGAAGCTTCACTCGTGCGGCTTCTTTTGTTGGACAAGAAAGTTGGGAGAGATATTGGAATAGATTCGGTAAGAATTGGTTGACAATCGAACACAAAATTTGGTTGGAGCAAATTATCGAACACCTTGTGGGCGTGCTTTGAAAGAGTAGATTTTGGAGAATTTGGTTTGATACTCTAGCTTCCTTTTGTGTGTGAGAGTTGGAGAGAAGGAAAGAGGAGGGTTTAGGAAATAATGGGGGAGAAAATCTAATTTTTAAACATTTAAAACGCCCCAACTAGGTTCGGACGGCCGTCCCGGTTTTTGTGCTAAATTTCGGACGGCCGTCCGAAATTTTTTTCTCCTTACTGGTTTTGGGACGGCCGTCCCACATTTTAGGCATATTTTGGGACGGCCGTCCCACAGGCAGTGGTGCAAATATTTTTTTTTTTTTTTTTTTTTTTTTTGCGGACGTCCGACTCGACTCTCGATCACGTTTTCGACCCTGAAAAGTAAAATTAAAATTATAAATTAGAATGCATGCTTATGATATTAAAAAAAAACGAAAAATTAAAGAAAAATACGAAAAACAATAAAGCTCGGGTTGCCTCCCGAGAAGCGCTAAGTTTAAAGTCTTCAGCCGGACGTTGCTTCTTTAATTTCAAGCAAAAGTGACCGAAGTCACTTGGCAATCTGCACTCGCTTCCCAATACGGTTTGAGCCGGCTCCGTTTTACGTTGAACGTACGATTTGAATCCCGCTCCTTTATCTTGACCACCTCGTGAGGAAGAATTTCTTGGACAATAAATGGCAGCGACCACTTTGATTTGCGCTTCCTTGGAAATAACCAAAGACGGGATTTGCACAATAACACCAATTGTCCTTTGTGCAATTCCTTTTTGATTTTCTCCTTACGACCACAATAGCTTGACTCATCCTTCTCTCATGACTTGCTCGAGCTTTTGGGTGGCAACATCTTCCTTGCATTCTCATCGTTGTTAAGACCTCGACTCGCATGACTTTCTCTCGGAGGATTAAAAGTGAGTCCATGAAATAAACTTGCTCCGTCCGATTCCCGTTTCCGCCATCATCTCCTGCACTCAAAGATGCTTTCCCATTGTCCAAGATCGAAACATCAAACTTTTCATTATTTGTAAAATCCATAAGCTCAATAGCAAAACAATCATTATTATCATATGGATTTTTATTAGCACTAAAAACATTGAATTTGATTGTTTGATCATGCACAGTCATTGTAAGATCACCACTAGCACAATCAATGAGAGTTTTCGACGTGGCTAAAAACGGTCTCCCTACGATAAGAGGTATCTCCCTATCCTCATCTATATCAAGTATAACGAAATCGACAGGGAAGATAAATTTATTGACTTTCACTAGCACATTCTCTAAAATACCTTTTGGGTAAACTAAAGATCTATCGGCTAATTGAAGAGTTATAGCCGTCGGTTCAATTTCTCCTAACCCAAGATTTTTAAAAGTAGAGTACGGCATAAGATTAATGCTAGCACCTAAATTAATGAGCGATCTAAAATTTTTACCTCCTATAGTGCAAGGAATAGTAAACTTACCTGGATCGACGAGTTTTTGTGGAAGAGGCCGAGTAAGAATTGCACTAATTTGCTCCGTGAGTTGGATCATCTCGTTCCCTTGCAATTTCTTACTTTTCTTCACGAGGTCCTTGAGGAATTTCACCCACTTTGGCATCTTTTGAAGTGCTTCAATGAAAGGAATATTTATGCGAATTTCCTTCAACTTGTCCAAAAATCTTTGATATTCGGCATCGAGCTTCTTTATTATAAACTTTTGAGGATAAGGAATTGGAGGGACTTGTGAAGGCACCGTTGATGGTGACTCTTCATGAGTTGATTCTTTTTCCTCATTCACTTTCGGCTTCTCGATTACCGTGTTTCTCTTCTCCTTTCGTGGGACTTCCTCCAATTGCTTACCGTTCTTCAAGGTGACAGCTTGGCATGTCTCGACCTCGATCTTTTTCGTTAACAATCTTTGTGGATATGGGATTGGTTCGACCCATTCGGCTACAGTGACTTGCGGCTTGACTTGACTTTCTTCCTTTTTCTCGATCTTGAAATCGATAGCTTGGCACGTCTCGAACTTTTGCTTTCGAGGATCTTCCGTATTCGATGGCAATGCTCCCGCCGGACGTTTCTCTTGATTCACAACGAATTGAGCGAATTGATTCTCCAAATTCCGCAGCGAGGCTTGGGTAGCGGTCATGAATTGGGCCAATATCTCATCCGTATTTGATTTTTGGGCCGGTGGATTGTTGCCTTGATAGCTTTGTTGAGGAGGGGCTTGATTTTGAAATTGACCTTGAGGTCTTTGATACCCTTGGCCTTGTTGATTTCCTCCATATTGCCCTTGTGATCTCCACCCTTGATTTTGGAATTGGCGAGGCGCATTGTTGACGTAGTTGAGCGACTCCACATCTTGTTGGCATTGGAGCGTGTAGTGATTTCCACCGCAAATTTCACAACATGGAGAATCAACTACTTGAACTTGTTGTGGTGGACTTGCTTTGATGTGCTGTAGAAGGAGTTGATTTTGTTGAGCAATTTGGGTCACTTGAGCTTGAAGGGCCGTAATTGCATCTAACTCCAACACTCCGGGAACTTTCTTAGCTCCACTAACCGTCCTCTCGCTTGACTTGGCAAACCGATTTTGAGCAATTTGATCCAACATGATGAAAGCATCCGGTATCGATTGACTCATAAAATTTCCCCCGGTTGATGCATCTAAGACCGTTCGTGCATTCTCGTTAATCCCTTGGTAGAAGATGTGGATTTGCCGCCATTGTTCGACTCCATGTGTTGGACACTGCCGCAAAAGAGTTTTAAATCTCTCCCATGCCTCGTATAATTGCTCGCCTTGCTCTTGGACAAAATTGTGAATTTCTCGTCGGATTCTCTCGTCCTTCTCGGGTGAGCTATAGACTTTCATGAAAAGGTTGAGGAGTTGAGGCCACGACGAGATAGAGTGGGGGGCTTGGGACATCAACCACTGGCGAGCTCTTCCTTGTAGGGAGTGCTTGAAGAGAATTAATTGAAGCGCATCTTGGGAAACGCCGTTTTGATGGTGGGAATTACAGGTATCTAGAAAATTGACAATGTGAAGATGGGGATCTTCACCTGCCAACCCACTAAATAGCCCGTTATTTTGGAGCATCGTCAAAAGGCCTTGCTTGATCTCAAAATTGTGCGCCTCCATGGGTGGATATTGGATGCTCGGGCGGAATCCGTCTAGAGTTGGGATTATGTAGTCTTGAAGTGCTCGTGGACGAACTGCCGGCTGTGCTGGAATTTGAGGGGGTGGGTCTTGGACTTGGTTTCCGTTGGCCTCGAGTAAATTGCCCGCGGCCCGTCTGCGTTCTTCGTCCTCCATTGTATTGTTTTCGCGTTGAAGTCTCCTAGCCGCTCGAAAAGTACGTTCGATTTCGGGATCAAACGGTTCTCTAGCAAGATCGAGTCTTCTACGCATACACAGTACCTAAAAAAAATAAAACAAAAATTAAATGGGTGAATCGTGAAAATTGTTCAAATCTAGAGCTAGAATAAAATAAATAATTAAAATATTCCCCGGCAACGGCGCCAAAAACTTGTTGGTCGAAAACCTACACGCAAGTGCACGTATCGTACAAGTAATATAGTGGACAATTAAGTCCGGATATCGAACCCACAGGGAATATTTAATTATCTAATCATAGACGCTAAATTCTACCAATTATTATCAAGCCCACCCTACACAGTCGAATAAGGATTAATAAACTAAATTAAACTAAATTAAAAACAAGCAAAAACAACAAAGCAATTTAAAACGAAGATTTAATCAAGATGAGCAAGCCTAGGATTTTATTCTTCCCCCTATGTGATTATTACTCCCCCAATTCCTTCAATTATGCAAGCAATTAACCCGGATTATTAACCTGAGATGCTAAAATAATCATAACCGGCTTCCGCGTGTATTACGATTCTAATACTCTAGATTCAATTACTATATTCCTATGCAATTAATTCTAGAACACAGCATTAAGCACAAATCTCAATAATGGCTACCTAAGAGATTAACTATATTCCTATGTTAATACCACAAAGGCTCTTCTACCACAGTTCTAATTATTAACCCGATCTTCCGATTCATGCGATTAACAATAACATAAAAGCGCATAAAGTGGCCAGTTTCATGAACTTAATAAAACAAGTAGAAGAAATAATCTGAAATTAAAACTTGCATAAAATCATAGAATTGGGTTCATAAATCCCACATAGGGTTCCAAATAAAATCCTAGAAATTAGAAATTTAGCTACTCATGATTAAAGGAAAAACACAAATAAAATAAATCATAGACGATAAATCTATGCTTGAAGTCTTCGAATTCTTCGTCTTCGTTATTGCTTTGTTGCTCTTGAAATTGTGTAAAAGATCCCCAATTGTGTGCTTGGCTTGGTCTTATATAGGGTGAAGAACTTGGGGAAGAAGGCAGTTTCCTTGTGCAATTAAAATTCCTTTACTGCGCAACTTCGGAGTCTCGGACGGGGGTCTCACAATTTGAACTAAAACTGAGACGGGGGTCTCAGCTTTAAATCTTCAGAATTTTGATATTTTCACTTTTGACCCATATTTTTGCAAAAATTGCAGTTTTGACCCCATACTTTTCCAATTCTTCAATTTGTACCTAAAATACAATAAATCAACTTTTTAAGCACCAATTATCGTTAAAACACACCAAAAGCTCAAATAAAAAGATACGATAAAGTGTAAAAATACACACTTAACAGTAGGTCAATCATCTTCTTAGATGGTTGTCACTTGAAGTCCATATATGGTGGGATTCTTCTATGTGCAGTGGGGATAGATGGAAATAATGGCATGTATCCCTTTGCATATGTTTTTGTAGAAAAGGAAAATAGAGAAAGTTGGTTATGGTTTATGAATTTGTTGAAAGAAGACTTGAAGATTGAGGAGAGTCAGCGCTACACCATCATGAGTGACAAGTAGAAGGGGTTATTAGATGCAGTGGAGGAAGTTCTGCCTAACAGTGAGCACATATTTTGTGCCATGCACTTGTACTGTAACTTCAAGGTATCACCTAAAGGATTGGCACTCAAGAACATTCTGTGTTAAGCTGCTAGAGCTTCAAGAGTGGTAGATTTTGAAAGAGTGATGAGAGATTTGGTCTCCAAAGATAAAGATGCTTTCAAAAGGCTTGCAAAAAGGAATGTTGCACATTGGAGTAGAGATTTTTTCAATACAAATTCAAAATGTGATACACTTTTGAACAATATGTGTGAAAGCTTTAATGCAATGATTCTAAGGCCTAGAAGTCTACCAATAATTGATATGTTGGAAGCAATTAGAAAGACATTGATGAAGAGGCTACATGTGAAGAGGGATAAGATGGCAAGCCACAAGGATGACATATGTCCTAACATTCAGAGACAAATAGAGGAGCTGAAGAAAAACTCAATAGAGTTCATAGCTAATTGGAATTGTAAGGATCATTTCGAATTTGAGAATTGTTATGGTGATAGATTTAAGGTGCATTTGGGAGATAAAACTTGTAATTGTAGAAAGTGGCAAATCTCTGGAATTCCTTGTGTATATTCCATTTCAGGCATGTACTATTTGGGGAGAATACCTGAAGATTATGTTGAAGAATTGTACAAGAAGAACAACGATATGAGAGTGTACAACCACTTACTCGACACACTTGAAGGAATTGTCTCTTGGCCTGAATATGGAAAGCCACCCTTGCTTCCTCCAGACATTGTGAAGATGCCAGGCAGGCATAAACTGCACAAAAGAAGAAGGCAACCAGGGGAGATCAATGGTTCAAAGGACATCCCACCACGAGTTGCCAAAACAGTAACAAGAATTGGGAATTTGGGTATACATGGTGTCATAATGACATGTAGTTCATGTCAAAAGAAAAATCACAATGCAAGAAGTTGCACCTTGAAGAAGGCAAGTGGTGCAGTTAATGATAAAGGCGAGGTATATGCATAGTTTTCAATTATTCATTATTTTATTGAGTAAGTTAATTGTTAACTAATGCAGTTGGATTTGTTTCAAATGCTAGAGAAAGAATTCAAAACACAAGCTATTATTCCTCAACAACAAAGCCAAACTGTGTAACAACAAAGTCACATTACATTTGAACCTCATATAGAAGTTCAAACAAGTAATGCTATTAACATAAAGGTACTTAGCTTTTGTAATTTGTAGCCAGTTGCTAAGAAGCAAGTTGTGCTTCAGCCTTCATCCCCATCACATAATTTGAGGCCAAGAAAAGCCACACCAAATACGAAATAGTGGCCATTTACTTTGTTAGGATGTTTTTCTTGTGATTTAAGTACATTTTGAACATCTTAGATCAATACTTTTTGCATTTTGGGAATGATATTTTGGGATTCCTCTTTCGAGAATGACTTTGTTATTGGTCTAGTGAACTATTTTGTATTTTGGTAAGACTATGTAATTTGTATTTTGCATTTTGGTAAAACTTTATACTATTTTATACTTTGGTAAGACTATGCACTATTTAGCATTTTGGTAAGACTTTAAACTATTTTTCATTTAGGTAAGACTATGTATTTTGCATTTTGGTAAGACTTTGCACTATTTTGTAGTATTTTGGATTTTGGTAAGACTATGTAGTTTGTTTTTTGTGCACGTAGTTACTTTTTGAATGATTAGGTTTTTTACTATGCAAAACTCAGTAGGTATACAATAACATTCATTACAAATCTATATTGCCATTACACAACAACATAAAGTTAAAAAGTTATTACAACTACTTAATTGAAGACAAGTACGTAACATAGAAAGATCAATACTTGTTCTAAACATCTAAACAAACATATACACCAAAAACATTGCTGTCAAGGCAATCCACAACCATTTTTCCCTTGATCCGTTCTTAATGAGTTGTTCTTCACACTTCTTCAACTCATCTTCACACTTCTTCAACTCATCTTCACACTTCTTCAACTCATCTTCGTACTTGTTGATCTTCCTAAGTAAACCAGGAATTATGTTACGAGATCGGTCACACATTGGAGGGTCAATCCACACATAGTATTTGCAACCCCCAATTTGATGGAAAAAATGTAACACGTTATAAGAATTCAAAATCAGCAAATCTCCTCTATGGATTCCAAATAAGATTGACGAAATTTACAAGAAATTCATACCTTATATTTGGGACATACAGCGAATCTCCTCCCTGGATTGAAATCGGTCCAAGATGTTTTCATTATTGCCATTCTTGCACTGTAGCATGTATTATTGACCTGGACTCCACTACTTTGAGACATGTCTAGAACCTAAACAATAGAACAAAAGAACGAAGAGAGAACAAGGAGAAAAAGAAAAAAAAAATGTAGACAAAGGAAGAGAGAAGAGGATAGGAAGTAAAGAAGAGAAAATCAAACTTGCAGAAATTGAGATGGAGGGAAAATTAGGGCGAAATTAGGGCATTTAGAAGGATGTTACAGGAAAAGACAAAAAAGCCCATGTTCTTTGGCATGTGCAGTGTGCGTGCGCCGCAAAGTGGAAAGATTCGCCATAATATTCCCTCCAGGTGGTTATGTGCGTCAAAAATGAATGTTTGGGAAATAAAATAATTCATTTTATAATATTTATAAGAATCTGATATCGATTCTATATCTCTATGTTTTGTTGAAATCACAATAAGTTTATATCAATTTAAGTTGCATACTAACCAGGATAAATTATGAAATTCCCCTGAACTTAGGTTAAATTAAGAAAAACACCCCCACATATTCGTCACTACCGAAATTCCCCCGATGTATGCTTCCGTCTTCATTTGACCCCCTTACAGTATGATTTTTCACGGAATTTTTTTGATTACGTGGAATATCCCGAAAATGCTTATTATACCCTGCACACGCGACAATTTTTTATGATACTTTTTAAATAAAAAAATTAGGCTAAAGGGGACTTTACACATAATCTTTATTGTTCTAAAATAACACTTTTACATTTTTTTTAATATTGCCATTCCCTCTCATGAGGTTAATTTTTGTATTTAAAAACTAGGATAAAAGAAATGTCACCTGTGCAAGGGTAGAATCCACATTTTTTGGAATATTACATGGAATAAAAAATATTTCGTAAAAAATCACACCATAAGGGGGTCGTGTAAGACATAAACAAACATCAAGGGGTTTTTAGAATAGTAATCGACCGACCAAACCCAGTCCCAACCCTAAAAATAATAGATGCAAAAAAATATTGATGCAAAAATCAGAATTAGGATTATGATTAGTATAATATTAGAATTATGATTATAATTAATATTCTTTGAACTAGTATTAGTATTAATAATAGGATTAGGATTCGGTTTATAGTTATGATTAATATAGTATTAGAATTAATATTAGAATTAGGATTATGACTGCGATTAATATTAGTATAAGAATTACAATTAAGATTATGATTTGTACTACAATTAATGACGTGGTTTAGTATTATGATTATGATAACATTAGGATTAGGATTAGGATTATAATTAAGAATAGAATTAGAATTAGAATTAACATTCGTATTAGCATTATTAGTATTAAAATTATTAGGGTTACTATTAAAATTTTGATTAGTGTTACGAATAGGATTAGGAATAGGATAATGATTTGGATAATATTATGATTACAATTATAATTAGCATTAGCACTAAAATTAGTATTAGGATTAGTACATTTGCATTAGCATTAACAATTACAATTAACCATACTTACTTTACAAATAAGCCCATCAATGAATATTTGTTTACAAAGGGGTTCAGACAATAATTCTTTTTTACAAAAAAGCCTCACATGGTCCCGATGTTTGTAAAAGACTAAAATAGCCTCTCAAATTTTAATATGCTCCAATTTCATCCTTTAATTTAATCTAACCTTAATTTGACCCCAAAATTCACAAATTATACAATTTTGACCCAAAACACAATTTTATGGACAATTTCGTCCGTCACCGCCGTTGACCGCCGGTCTCTGGAGTTGACTTTTTTTTTCCTTCCTGATTTTTCCGCCGGTTTCCGTTTGGCTTTCGATTTTATTTTAATTTTTTTTCTTCCTGTTTTTTCCGCCTCTGGTTTCCGGCGTTGACTTTTTTTGATTTTATTTTTTAATTTTGTTTTTCTTTAACATCTTTTTTCCCCCGTTTAAACAACAATATTTTTGTGGTTGACATTAATATTAACAATATTACTGTTAAACACAGTAAAATTAACTATACTACAATTTAACACAGTAATGTTGTTATAATAATCTCTAGCACAGTAATATTAACACAACAAAAGTCATTATTATTATTCTGTAATAGAGTAATATTAATATGTGGACCGTTCAATAATGATAAACATAATAAAAATCCAAAAAAAATTAATATTACTATGGTTGACATTAAAATTACTGTAAGAACAGTAATATTGCCGTCAACCACAGTAATATTATTGTGTTTTCAGTAATATTACAATAATAGACAATAATATTATTACGTTACTCCGCCAATAACTCAAACAAAATAAAAAACCCAAAAAATATTAATATTGATGTTGTTGACAGTAATATTATTGTGTTTACAGTTATTTTACTATCAATGACAGTAATATAATCACGTCGACTTGTCAACAAATCAAACAAAAAAAAATTAATCGAAAAAAATAATAATATTGTCGTTGACTCTGATTGTACAGTCAACAACAGTACAATTACATAAATGCATTGTCAACGGCAGTATAATTACGTTAATGTATTGTGAACGGCAATAAAATTCCGTTAATGTAAATGTATTGTGTTTACAATTATTTTACTATCAACGACGGTATAATTACGTTAATTTACTGTCACTAGCTGTATAATTACTGTTAATGACAGCACAATTACGGTCAACGTTGAGCGGCGGGCGTAAAAAAAAATAACCCAATAAAAAAGTCAACGCCGGAAACCGGCGGCGGAAAAAACAGACCAAAATTTTTTTTTCGAAAAAGTCAACGCCAGAAACCGGCGGCGGAAAAAACAGACCAGAAAAAAAATTCCAAAAGTCAACGTCAGAAACCAGCGGCAAAAAAAATAACTTCTGAAACAATTTTTTTATAAAAAAGTCAAAATTGGATTTTTTTGGTCAAATTGATTAAATTGGGGTTACAATTAAGAATTTGGTGTAAAGGGTTGGGGGTAATTTTGTCACATATATTATCCTTTATTTATAATACATATTAAAAGGATGTGCGTATTGACGAAAGAGATATAGCCGCTGAACCTAAAACAATAAAGATGGTTGGTCTTGGACTTATGCACAAAAATCCCTATTATTATTAGTATTAGTATTAGTATTAATATTAGTATTAGTATTAGTACTAGGGGGGGAATATGATGCTACACCCGGTGATTTTCACGGTGTGGCTCTTTTCTTGATATGTGTCCTTTTTTATTTATTTTATAATTATATTTCTAAAACCCATTGGGCCATTGAGAATCTTATTAATTAGGGTGCCTAGTTATATTCACCAGGTGTAGTATAGAATTTCCCTAGTACTAGTACTAGTACTAGTATTATTACTAGTATTAGTATCAGTATCAGTATTAGTATTAGTATCACTATTAGTATTAATTAGTATTAGTATTAGTATTGGTATTAATATTATTAGTATCACAATTAGTATTAATTAGTATTAGTATTAGTATTGGTATTATTATTATTATTATTATTATTATTATTATTATTATTATTATTATTATTATTATTATTATTATTATTATTATTATTATTATTATTATTATTATTATTATTATTATTATTATTATTATTATTATTATTATTATTATTATTATTATTATTATTATTATTATTATTATTATTATTATTATTATTATTATTATTATTATTATTATTATTATTATTATTATTATTATTATTATTATTATTATTATTATTATTATTATTATTATTATTATTATTATTAATATTAATATTATTATTATTATTATTATTATTATTATTATTATTATTATTATTATTATTATTATTATTATTATTATTACTATTGATGATATTCATAGGGATTACCATATGAAATTGTATTAGTAA